TCCACATGAATCCAGGTTCTCGAATGTACAACGGAACGTAAACCTGTTGATCGGCCGAGTGTCTCTTGATCGCGACAGTTTCAGCGAGCTAGCCCCGGATGATATCGTTTCGCCGCGCAGTGCGTCCCAAATTGCGCGCCTCGAACGGATCGAACGAAAAAACCATTGAATAAATATTACACCACGTGTAATTACGGGCTAATCGCGTTCAGAGCGCGGCGACGCGGTTAAAAATTAAGTCTTCCGTTTAGGCTTTCTCCCTCCTCTCTCTCACTGGCTCACCTAGATTCGTCTCCTACGCTGCGAATCATGTACACACGCATTTCGCGGCCCCGGTAAACGTCCCGCCGACGATTTTTTATTTTATTCTTTGCCGTGACACGCGCACACCCATCGGAGGCAGCTAGCAATCTTTAAACAATGGGAACGAGCGTTTCCGGTCGTCCATAGGCGAGATGCTCTACCACCGGAACCTCGTTCGTCGCCTCGACGCGAGCTACGCCCCGTTTAGTCGCCGTTTCGAGCATCGCCTGCTCTGTCCTGATGCTTCAAAAACATACATTTATCATGATTACCATTTTGTACGATCAAAGGCAAGTCGTTCTTCCGCGAATAGAGCGATTCGATAAATGGAGCGATGAGCATAGCAACAAATAGCGTTCGAACTGGGGAAGAAATTATACGGTCGGCGAGAATGTACGCGGGAAACGGAAAACTACCAGTTACAGCGGCGCTGTTCGACGAACTCCGAAACTCCGGAGAGCTTCCCCAACTCTACCATCGTTAGTCCCCGCGGATCAGTGCTGTCCAATGTTAGCTCCCTTGCTCGAGGATCTTCCTGCGATTGTTTCTTAGTATCACGACTGTAATACTAGGACTACTGCAAGCTGACTGGATTTGATGTTCTTACATTGCAATGACTGATAACATAAAGCATTAAGTATCCAGAATTATTTAAAATATATCTTCGCCTAGATAACCCTTAGCAGTCCTATGTCGAGTCAGACTCGACAATCTATTTTATTGCAACCTCTACCTGTTTTAATAATTTTTTTTGTATTTATTTGTAGTATCACAATTTTACTATTTAAAGGTACCATTTCAATGACTCCCAAATATTCTTGGATAAATAGAGCGTCATATTAAGCTGTAATCGAATGAACTAACGTCGACGTGAAGCTCAAAGTGAGAAACCAAGGGCACGGACCGCAAAGGGATAAGGTATTATTAACAGAAATTTTCATAAAATGCACTTTCATCATTTTTGTAAGAGTTAGATGTTGATCATATTAAATACTCGGTAGTTAGCATCAATCGCGTTAGTCCAACTGTATTTTTCCTTAGCCCTTCAGTTACATTTTTACCTTTCCGAACTTCTTCCTTTTATCAGTCATTATAGCAAATTTTATACGAATAAAAGAGCAAGAAAAGCATGGAATCTAACCCATGGACAGCACCGCGATCTCAAATCTCGTACGATTTTCCGGTTCCCGCGATCGCAACCAAGACGAGCGGAAAGCAATGTGTACTATCGACAGCCACAGAAACTCGCCGGTAAAACTCTATACGCGCGATAATGTACAACGAAGGAACTAGCATTCTTGTTTCGTTAGGTCTGGACATTGAGATCCTCTATCGATCCCGACTGGCCGCGAACCCCTTGCGACACGCGCGCGCGTCTCTACGCGAACGCGATTCTACGTATGTACACCTGTGAACGTGCACCACGACGGCTACTTATGCGGTCGCGATTATGTACCTCTTTCGCTGGGTTCTTCGTCTCCTTCTTCATTCTCTTCTTCGTTGATTCCATCACGTTTTCCCCTGTGATCCTCGCCTCTAACGCAATTCGCTCGCAAAAGAGCTGCGACTCGAGGGCCTACGTCGCCCCTTCTTCTTCTTCCTCATCATCATCCTCTTCATCATCATCTTCATCTTCTTCGCGGAGAAGAAGCGTCTCTTCCATTCTCTACTTTTTTAATCATTTCCCTTCTCCGCCATCCTAAACAGATTCTCACAGTTATGCAAAGGAATCAGTTCGGGTGGATTCTCGCGAGATTTCGGTAGATTTGGTATCGGGAAGGGGAGCCGCGGGCGTGCATCGACCCTCCCGCTCGGAAACTAAACACGGAAAACCGATTCGCTTTTTTTATCTAATCCCCATT